ATGTTACACATTTAAAAACCTGAGGGAAAAAACTAACAAACTCAGTATGTGATAGTATATATCAGGGCTATTCAACTGGCGGCCTGCGGGCCACATCTGGCCTGCGAGTGACCAAAGTTCGGCCCACCAGTTGGTTCATTCGTGTCTTAAAACCAAACTCCTGGTTTTTTACTTTAATTACTCTGAGTTCTTTTAGTTAAACACAGACATGTTTGTATCTACAGAAACATCAGAATCTTGGCTACAAGCTGGTAAAAACATTTCTATGAACACTGAAGACAGTCAAAACTACACACAGTTGAAGATATAACTATGAAAGTGAAAATAAAATTAGTTTAAAAATTTGGCAAGTCAGAGGTGTTAAAGTATTATTTGTGTTAAAGAAGAAGCAGAATGTGTTATTGTTTTTATTGTTTAATTATCTCTACTTTTATAAGGTTCTGTAAGTTGTTTTCATGATTAAATGCAGCAAAATAAACTATTTCAAAGGTAACAGATCTTTGTAATACTGTACTTGGTTTATTTACATAATAACTAATTGCTGGATGTTCGGCCCCTCAGCTGTTGACCTGCAGTAACTGTGGCCCCCGGAGTGATTTAGTTGAATAACTCAGGTATATATTTTTCTCTCCAATTCAAAATGTGAATCCAGATGTAGTTTCTCTCAGTTCATCCATCCATCCATTTTCTGTACACGCTTCTTCCTTTTCAGGGTCGCGTGGGTCACTGGTGCCCATATCCAGCAGTCACAGTGCGAGGGGCGGGGTACACCCTGGACAGGTCGCAAGTCCATCACAAGGCCAGTTCTCTCAGTTCAATCAAACTGAAACTTGTCAGGCCCTCTCATTCTCAGTTGATCAACATTAGGCATCATTTTCTCACACAAGACAAAGACAGAAACACCAAACTATTTGCAGGCAGAAAAAGATGGATTCCTCTCTGAGGTGAGCTTCTGCCTCAAGAATCTTGGCGTTTTGTTTTAAGGGACGAGTGGAGCGTGAGATTGACAGATAGATGCAGCTTCTGCAGTATTGTGGACATTGTACCGGTCTGTTGTGGTGAAGTGGGCTGTAAGGTGAAGCTCTCTGTTTACCGTTTGGTCAACGTTCCTACCCTCACCTGTGCTCATGAACTTTGGGTCGTGACTGAAAGAACAAGATCCTGAATCCAGACGTCTGGAATGAGTTTTTTCTGCAGGGTGTCTGGACTCTCATTAGCTGTGTTTCCATTACAAATGTGCACAAAACTTTGTTGATATTCTGTTAATGTTGAAAAAACAGTTTCAC